TTTGTTTTTTGATATCCAGGTATCTCAACTTACACCAGACTAAATTCTGGAGCTCCAAGACCCATGTCCCTAGAACCTTGGAGGGGGTAAATCGCGGGTTATGCCTCAATTGGATCATAGGTTCCCCCCATTGACTGTACACTTTTGCGCACAAGAGACCCTCCTTCACAGTAATTGCTCCATACAAAATTTTTGGCCGCAGGTTCCCACCAGGAATCAAACTCCCCACCTCTTTTGTTTGTTGTGTACATTAGAGGTTGTTTTACTATGAATCATTGTTCTTGGGTCTCGTTTGATTCCCATTTTTTTCAAAATATTTTTTCTCTCTTTTCTTTTCAATTACACATTTTTCATTAAAATAATATTACACGTAAATCAAAAAAATTTCATCAATATATTTTTTATCAATCTACGATTTTAAAATTCATTTTTCCTTAAAAATGGTTGTCAAACACCCTGTTGGTTAACAGTAATTGTTATTTTGTCAATATTTGTGGGTGAGCCAAACCAATAGAAACATACTTATTCAGCCAAATATTGGATTGAATTGACTAGTTTACACAAGACTAGTGGAAAATGAATAAAACAATTAAAATCACTTTTTGTTAAGTTGATGTTGAACCCAGTTTTTTCAAACATTAAAGATGACGTGGTCTTCAAGGACCATTGACTTGAATTAGTGCTTTTCGTAAAGCTTTTAGTTACTAAAAAAAAATTATTTTTAATTATAAATTCATTTAACTCATAATATTTTTCTACTTTTTACGCCATAAATTTATTGATCCACTAATTTTAGTAAACTTTTATCATCTTTCAACATCGTCACGCCATTTTTAGTAACTCACGTCATCATATTGATGAATTGTGTCTTTTGCTATTAATTTCAAGTAATAGTAGCAAGAATGCATTTTGTAGTTTGAAGGAGATGAATTTGAGCTCTAGTCGAAAATAGATTTTACGATAGTAACTTTTTTTTTTATTTTTCTTTTTTGAGAATGTGTAGTTATAAATATAGAAAATTTTTGAGTTTATGTGTAAAATTATTTTATTGGAGTTTGAGAATATGTGGTTCAGTAGTTGAAAATGAGTTTTAAAATTTTTTTTTTTTTTATAGATTGTGGCTCAAACACGAATTATATAATTAATGAAGAATTTATGCATAACAAACAGCTCCACAAAACAAATTTCACTTGCCACGTAAAGCCATATATAACATGTTCGGGACCTATTTGTATTTTTTGGTAAAGGTTAGGGACCCTACTGTAATTTACCCCTTTAATTCGTTTTTGCTCCATAAATTATCATATAACAAAGGTAAGTACAAATGTAAGTCAAATCCGATTATGCCTGATTTTGGGAATTGAGTATAACTGGTTCATATTATAGATAAATAGGTATAGTAATTGATAAGAAAATAATACTTGTGAATTTCAGAAAATGTAGAGATAAAAAATAATAATAATTAAAACATATACCAAACAAGCGCTTTGGGACAAAGGAGACAAGTTTTTTGGTTAAGATTTTTGCATCACTAGGGCCTCGACTAATCATGTTCCTTGGCCCGCACTTCCCAAAACTAGGTTTTACTAGCTTTCGATTTATCTATCATGCTATAAACAAGGCCGGCCCTGACCCAAGATAGACTAGGCCATTGCCTTGAACCTCATAATTTTGTGGGCGTCACAAAAAAATAAAGCCTTAAAAGTTGTCTCTAATTTTAGATTTTTTTGATCACCCTTCCAAATAATATAGATTTCTGGTATCATGAAAATAAATTTTAGATTTTTGACTTGATACTAATATAGAAACTTTTTCAAAACAAATTTGACCTTATCGTAAGGAAAGCATAATTGGCATCATTAAATTATTTTACTTTTGTATTTTTGTTAACTAAGAAATACACCACTTTGACAAAGGAAATCGAAATTAAGAACAATTTCCTTTCAGCCACAAAATTGCACCTATTAGTAAGAAATCTTTAATTTAATATATGAATTTTAGATTTGCATTTGCATAGCCCCTGTTTGGCCCCCAGTACGGGGAAAATTTAATGTATGGAATAGTGTTTTTTGAAAAATGAGTGGTTGAAAAAGAAAGAAAAATTTTCGATTTACGTGTAATATTATTTTATGAAAGATTGTGTGGTTGAAAATAGGAGAGAGAAAAATAGAATGTAATGTAATGAAAATCAAACAAGGGCTTAATTCCTCAGTGAATGTACCAATTCTTTTACATTTCAAAATGTGAGAATGTTAAATATTCTATTAGTCTAATATCTCGAGTTGCGAGAGGTAATTTATTTTGCAACCCTTTCTCTTGAATTGCGTGAAATCTTCATTTTAATATAGAAATATTATTTGGTTAAAATATTTAACTAGTGTGATGATTATAAAAAAAAAAAAAAATTAATATTTGAAGGCCTAAAAAAAATTAATCGCCTAGAGCTTCCAAATTCTAAGGGCCGAACTTGGCTATATAACATTCCTTAAAATTGATAATGTATCGTTTTTGACTTATTTAATGTAAAAAGCTAATTAACTTGAAATTATTTCAAGAGCGTGACGTAATTTCTTTCTAAGCAATGGTGTTGGAATTATAGGGCACCGTAAAATTTTCAAATGACCAAGATTGATGTACATAAATCATGTCCTGAGGTTACGTCTTGACTTAATAAGTTCATTTTCACACTGTATCTTTGGAATTCAAACTCTTTCAAGTTTCTCCAGTTATATGCTTATGTTCAACACTAATTATTAGTATTTTCACACGAAAATTGTAGGATGAAATCACGAAAAGTGCGGATAATAATGAACAGTAATTTTGAATATGTTCTTAAAATTAAAGTTTGATTTTGATTGAATAGTAAAAATAACTTTTAAGTTACTAAAGTTCAGACTGGCCCTCAACACGTTAAAATTTTTTATTTTTTTAATGTGTGTATGTATATTTTACATATTAGTTTGACTTATTTTTTTTTAGTCCAATATTAAATCCATCCCTACATATATTCAATTTTCAAAAGTAAATCCTTTTCGCAATTCACATTCAAATTCAAATTCATCTCCAACAAGTTCTCTAGTAGATAAATTCAAAATTATTCTGAATTAAAGTCTATGCTTTTGAAATTGGAGTTCAATTCTTATAAATAAAAAAATCAGGTCAAGGAGACTTGTTACCAATGTCGACATATTGGCCTTGTACCATTGACTTATGGGCAGGGCATGTGGTGATTCTTCTATCATCAAGGCCGGATTAATTGATGAAATTGCAGTAGCAATAATTCAGTTTGGACTAGCAATATTCTTGACCAAAATTTCTTAGTCCCTGTTTGTTTTTCATTGTCTAGCCATTAAAATGAAAAATATGATCTTTATCCATCACATCATGCCACCATATTTGAATTTCTATCTCTTGTGTGGAGTTCATAACGACTATATTTTTCATTCTTATTTTTAAATTAATGAGAAACAAACGGGACCTTAATAAAAATCTCAACATTTGGTCAAAACTCAAACCCCACAAAATTGGTTCCCAGTCGAACCTTTAGAAGAGAAAAAAAGTCCGTGTTTGGTGAAACTAAACAAGTTGACACAAAAAAAAAAGTTAAAATCAATAATTAATTTTAACTACATGTCATTATTATTATTATTTTCAAAATTAACTATAATCTGATCGTTAACTACACCAAATAGATGCTAATATATGTCATGCTTAGATTGGAATGGAATATGATATTCATAGTCCACGATGCAATAGTGCTCCCATGTGGCAGTTTATTATTTGAGGCAACATAATTATAGAAAATTAATGCATCAAATAATAAGTAGACAAATAAGGATAACTACTACAATCGTTGACTATGAATATTATTACTCGTTGCGATGAGCATCAGGATTTATTCAGAAAACTTGTCCAATATAGATTTCATGATTTGTCTATTTCAAAATACAACAATTCGTCTCAAATGCTGTATAAAAGTCTAAATTGCGTGATGAGGTCATTACGTTAATTTTAATTTAACGAAGTTATAAAATGTAATGGGGGACCCATCCGAAAATAGTTGATCACTTTATAGATTTCGATGACCAACATGTTTAACGAAATTATAGATTTTGGAACCTATTTTCATGTAATAAAATATGATTATTAGCACCGCTTCATCACGAAAAGCACAGAAACATAAACAGAACTAGAAGATTATTGTAATACATGAGAATCGTAAGATCGAAAGAAAATAAGAGATATGATAAAGATTTAGTTTCTGTTTCGTATTGATTTAAATTAGATTTTAATTTAAATTAAAGTGAAACAATCAACATTAATCACATATTTTATAGATTCCATAACTATTTAATCACGCATTTAAATTTTTTTTTTTTTTATCACAGTTTACTAAAAATCTAATTTTAATCTGCACCAAACAAGGACTTACACGACCAATTTGAGTAAATCGCGTAAGTTAAATTTCTCCTAAAATGGATTATATGCGAGTCACACTATAAGCTCACTATTATTATTTAAAATTTCAACAATAGAATATAATCGCAATATTATTAATTATTCCTAACTTGTATGTTCAAGTGAAGGGAGGACAGATTAGAAACGTGATATAGTGTGTGGGAAAATGCTGTGCTCGCTACACAGAGGTATTCTTAAGAATTTTTTGATATCTCGATGATGATTTTCCGTAATCTCTACTATGGTAACAATAACGTTGTGCGAATAATTCGAGAAGGTTGAAAGGGTAGGTCCCCTGGTGCCAAATTCCATTAGAATTGTTGCCCATTAAGTTTTTTTAAATTTATCATTTTAGATAGGGCTCTCACTATTAATTAAGTATTTATAAACTCACAAGACCTTTCATGTGTACAATACAATTAGATCGTGACATTTTATCATCCTTCAAGATCTACATCTATGGTGAGCCATTCATTCTAGCAACGTGACTCCATAAAATTAGTTTTGTTTTATTTTATTTTATTTTTCCTTCTGAAAAGTAGCATTTATTTGGACGCCTCGCAATATGGGTCCCCAAGACAAGGTTCCCACTCTACCCCGGTACCAATTGTTTGAGTAGAATTCATCCTTAAAATTAACTTGTAAGGAGAAGGTGTCCCGAGTGTTTTTAAACCCAAAATGTAGGTCATTCACTAGCACAATAAATTTATAATACAAGCTTATGATGCATTTTTCCCTTTTTTTTCTTCCTTCTTATAGGAAAATTAGGTTTTACTCCTCTACCTTTTACATGGTTTGATTATAATCTATGAACTTTTAAAAGTGAGATTTTAAGTCGCAAACTATTGAAATATGTTAATTTAGGTTCCCTTGTGATTGTAAATGTCAATGTGAATGTGTGTTGAAATTGTAAATAATTTTCAATTGAACTAAAAATAAGTGTTAAGTAAGGATAATGCTACATTTACCTACATATTTTTACAGAATCTTTTACCTACAGTCACAATAGGAGCGTGGGTTCCACAATCTGAAATTTTTAAATGCACGCGGGGCCCGCATGTATGTAAGAGTAGGACACCAATTCGGTAATCCATTTTTGATACATATATGTTTATCCATTAATTAGGAGATTTTGCACCTGTATTCATGATCCCAGAAAGTTACTTGTAATTTTAACTTTCATATTAATGATTTCAATGATGTGAAAATCTCGACTGCCAATTCATATATTTAAGAATTCTGCCATAATTTTAACTTTCATATTAATGATTTCAATGATGTGAAAATCTCGACTGCCAATTCATATATTTAAGAATTCTGCCATGTGTATAGCACTTTTGTACATCATTGTTGATAATCTTTTTTTTTTTTTACAAGGTGTCCTATTCTAGACTAATCCTTGGGTCTGTGATCCGGCCCCTCTTCACACAGTCCGGTTAATCGCAGGATGTGCCTCCAACTGGCCAGGGTCCGAGCGCTCCCCACCTGGTCTGACAAAGTGCCAAGTAAGCCAATCCAAGTTGCACCTTGCCTTCCAAGAATAATCCTTGCCTTCCAAGTTCCCACTTGCCTTCCAAGAATAAATCCTTGCCTTCCAAATGTTCCCTTGTCTTCCAAGAATAAATCCTTGCCTTCCAAATGTTCCCTTGTCTTCCAAGAATAAATCCTTGCCTTCCAAATGTTCCCTTGTCTTCCAAGAATAAATCCTTGCCTTCCAAATGTTCCCTTGTCTTCCAAGAATAAATCCTTGCCTTCCAAATGTTCCCTTGTCTTCCAAGAATAAATCCTTGCCTTCCAAGAGCCCCATGTTTCGAACTCACGACCTCTGCTCTGCCAGGTTTGACAGCGTCCGTCCTTTGTCAGTGGAGAAGTGCCCTGGGGGGGCATTGTTGATAATCTTCCTATATAATGTGGTGGAGTACATAATTAAAATAATCATGTGTCCCACCCTCGGGTAAGAGGAGGATTGTCAAAGCTGGTGTACTGTACACATAGAAAAACAAAAATTTCCTTCCAAAAGATGATTCGGCTGGAAAAGGACGAGAAAACGCGGCAGTTCTCGTTACTCTCACGCTCAGGCCTCATAGTGATTTTGGTGAATCGCCACTTGGACATTTCATGAACCAAGAAACATGTGTATAGCGGTGTTCATTTGGAATTCTCACCCACTCTATCCGTTCCTTCTATTGCTCAACAGGGACGAATATCATACCCGGTACGCACATACGTTTTTAGTTCTCATTTCATAAAATTGATAGCAATTTAATTCAGATTAGCCCTAAATGTGACTAGAAATTGAAAATTCGAAGTAATTTGAGCTATCCATGTTTAAATATTTATTTTTTCCTCTGTGTATATATCAATCATAGGCCGACTTCGCCACTGGGATGGTGGGAAGATGGTGAAATTCTCGGGGGAAGAGATGGAGAAGCCGGTGGGACGTGGCTGGCTTGCACGAGGAACGGAAGGCTTGCATTCGTTACGAATGTGAGGGAAATCAAAGCAAATTTCCAGGGCAAGAGCAGAGGAGACCTCCCTGTTCGGTTCTTGAAGGTAATTTTTACTTTTCCCCCCTCCTCTGGCATGATTCTTTAGTTACAAATTTTGGCCAGGAATGCTTTAACATGGAACACGAGTAGTTACAAGCATGATTTTATATTGTCCCAGCGCCTGTTTCTTTTTTGCTGTTTTTTTTTTTCTTTTGGTCAAATCTTTGATTTCAAGATGATAGTTTAACTTTTGATTTTATTCTTAGATTATGAATAAATGTTGTGTTGATCATAATATAGAGCAAAAATAGTCCTAAAGAATTTGCGGATGAACTTATGGGAGAAGCAGACCAGTACCATGGGTTCAACTTGATAGTAGCTGATCTTTGCTCTATGACCATGTTGTATATAACCAACAGAACAAAGGACAATGGCCTATCAGTAATAGAAGTTTCCCCTGGTATTCATGTTTTATCAAATGCAACGCTAGACACTCCATGGCCCAAGGTGAGGATATCCATCGTGCTAAGTAATGTTGATGATACTTCATTTACATTTGATACTGTGAATGCTAGATGAGGAGCTTCATTTTTTAAAATTGTTAATGTGTAATGAGCTCTATATTTCTTATGTGATGAACGTTGGAGGTTCACACCCTATGTTTGGCAGCATGGAACTTGGCCTTAGAATTGAATTAGAAATGGTTCTATTCTAATGATTTGTGCACACTTCTATTATGAGGCCCCAGCTTGTGCTATGCCAGTGCAGCCTCTGTTTTTCATTTTGTACTCCTTATTTCTCTGAATTTGCAATTTCTATTGGATGACATGGCTACCGTTCCTCATTAGAGTGAGAAATGGGCGTTGAAGGGCCATCTGGATGGTGCTGTTTAGAAAACGTAACACATAGTGATGTTTACTATTATGGATGAAATTTGTTTAGACTGAAATGGGTTTTAGTTGCTTACTAATTCATTATGGAAGATTTGAAAGCAGTTTGCCGTTTATCTAGTTGTGATTCTGTAGCCTTTCTACTTTTGGAATTGTGACATAAATCAATAACAGATTAATCAAGGATATAAAAAATCATAAGCTGTCATAGGGAAGACAAATAATCTACTAAACAAGTCTAATCCATAAGGAGCGAGTTTGAGAGGCCAACAACCATGCAAGGATTGAAATTGTACCTCAGTTAAATGCACTGGCTCAGAGTGAGGGGCGTGCATATTCTTCTGCTATTTGGTTTCAGTTACCTTTTAAAAGTTTGCAGTGTCAGCTCATTACTGCAGAATGGAGGGCTTGAATTTTCTGCATTACACATTTTTTCAATATTTCAAGTTTCCTCTGCAACCCATTTCCCTTCTCTTCTCTTCCCTTCCCTTCATAATTGTGATTTGGATTTATTTTGTTCAGGGGATCGCCCCCCCGGGGGGGGGGGGTATCTGGGCTGTACTGCACATTCACAGATATAGTACAGTAACGTTAATTTGTTGAATTATATCAACAGCTCTTCCATCATGCAGCTAAGGTATATATCCAATCTCCAGAAGTGGCATCTTTCTGATTTCACTGAATTCTTGTCTTGCAGGCTCAAAGGTTGATGCATAGTTTCAAGGACATGCTGGATAAATATGGTGAAGCTGAAATTTCTATTGAAGAGATGACTGCAAATCTAATGAGGGACACTACAAAGGATGATGAAAGCAGACTGCCTCACATTTATCATCCTGAATTTGAATGTCAATTGAGTTCCATATTTGTTGAGGCAGATACATCTTTGGTAATCTGAATTTATCATTCCATCTATATCTTGTTGTTAGTCTCCTCCTACTATAAACTTAACTATGTTTTTATTCCAAATGTGTAGGGACGTTATGGCACAAGGAGCACGTCTGCAGTAGTCTTGAGAACAAGTGGGGATGTGAGCTTTTATGAAACACATCTCCAGAAAGATTTGTGGAAGGAGCAGACAATTTGCTACCATATGGAGAAAGAGAAAGCTACACTTTAACTTGTTCAACCTGTAAGTTAATCTACTTTGGTTACCCGAATAAATGCTTAGCAAATGCAGAATTATGGATGTTACATTAGTAAATAGAAATAAAAATCCGCGCAACATTCATGTCTCAATATATAACACGAATTGGGGGATATCTTATAAAGGCTCATAAGAGGGTTCCACTTTCTTGAACATGTACCCAAATCCAAAGTTTGTTTACAATCCTGTCTTTCTGTAAATCGGAAGAAGCAGTGCCCAAACTAAGGTTGAATTTTGCTTTTTTGGGCACTACCTGTGTGATTCGAACCTTTTGGCTTAAGGATCCTGCTGCATCTTGTCACATGCACACACTTATAGAACTTTCTTACAATCGACTACCTTTGGATTAAAACAAGAAAGGAATTTTGAGAGGTGTCATACCCACTTTCTTGAACATGTACCCAAATCCAAAGTTTGTTTACAATCCTGTCTTTCTGTAAATCGGAAGAAGCAGTGCCCAAACTAGGGTTGAATTTTGCTTTTTTGGGCACTACCTGTGTGATTCGGACCTTTTGGCTTAAGGATCCTGCTGCATCTTGTCACATGCACACACTTATAGAACTTTCTTACAATCGACTACCTTTGGATTAAAACAAGAAAGGAATTTTGAGAGGTGTCATAAACCATGAGTCTTTCCAATTGCCTTATAAATGTGAAGTTGCTTGTTTCAGTCAAATGGGCCTGTCGCGTTAATTGTATCCTTGCCTTTCAATTCAATTCCTGCTGATTTCCTTTTCCACCCCTCTATGTTGATAAATCCATTTTGCATTTATATAATTTCTTGTATACCCTCCATTTTTGTTGCATTTCCTTTTTAGCATTTTGGTCGGCATATTATTTCCAGGTAAATTCCAGCTTCATTTTAGCATACCATTTTTTATCAATTTCCCTGTAAGCATGAAAGTTTTCAAGGTTTGTGGGATTCCTCTGTAATGTACAGAGACATATAGATGCATACGATAACTAAATGTAAGGCTATTTGAGGTTGCTTTATAAAAAGATGAGAGCACTTCAGACTTGGTGTCCTTTTATTCAGCCACCTGTGATTTGGATGTCTTGCTTAGAATAGAAATATGAAACATAAAAATATAAAAATAAGTTACGAAAAAATCATTGGCTCAAAGTTAATACACAACTACTGTAAAATCTTATTGGACTTCATACTGGTTGATTATCAAAGGCTATTTGAATTCGGAATTAGTTAGCTGCAGATAGAATCGATACTAGAAAGGTCATTCATTTTCATTTGCATACTTCTGGAAAATCGGGTCAGAAGGTCCCAACGTCAACATAATGTATTGTTCGTGCGTCTTAAAGCTGTCTTAACGAAAAATTGTTCTATCATTTTGTTACTTCAAATTGTTCTTCCAT